TAGTAACGGAACGGTGACGCTGGATTATGGATGTTTTCCTTTCCCGTGCGTGAATAGTGTGTTGTTGTTTGGGAATTTGTGTTGCATTTGAGTTCATGATAGACTTGGTTTTTTGGCGTCTTCCGCAACTAGTTTTTTGTGAAGTTTGCCTAATTTCCTCCGACCGTTTTTTTTTTAATGCTCCAGTGAATGGATTATTCTATGATCATTTTCTATCTTACCGTCGACGGTTATAATCGTGATTTTCCCGTCGTTTTGATTTGGGTATGTGTGCTCATACTGGAGAAGAAAAAACTATTTGAAATAATGTTTTACGTTGCATTTGAATAAAAGTCAATGATCGGGGTGTCATCGTTGTCCTGTATTTCGAGCTCAATCGCTGCTCATCAGCTACATCCATCACTTTTTCATGGATATTTTGTAACTTGATTTACCAGATGAAGTTATTCACCTAAAGCAGATGTAATGTTGCGTTCATTTTATTTTCCTCAGGTTACGGCTTTATTGACTGTGAAACAGAAAAAGAGGCGGAGCTCGCTCTGGAAAGAATTAATGAGTACTCTAGAACTACGGGGAGAAAGCTGTCTGTGAAATTTGCATTTGAAAATGAAAAAGATAAACTAAACGTTTTCGTGCAGCATTTACCGCGCTCAGATTACACCACTGACGATTTAATGGAGCTTTTCAAACCGTTTGGGGTGATAACCTCAGCAAAGCTGTTGGATTCCATGAAAGGACCTACTGGTGAGTTTTCATTGGTACTTCTAGAATAACTTGAACGATTGATCAGCACAGATAATCTTTTGTATTGATATTTTGCCGTGCAGTTTAGAATATGTAGCCGTTTTACCTTCATTCGAATGATTCCATTAGTCCTTTTTTCCCGTTTTCATTCGACCTGATACCACGTTTTCCGATGAGGCGTTTTGAGGATCACTGCTCCGAATGTTTCGGATAGTTTTCATACCGTATCCATGTCTACTTAGCTCACACTTTCCACTCGCCATTCAAGTAGATTATAGCAAAAGTCACCGTATTTAGAAGGGGATGTAACGTGCTCTTTAAATTTATTTTCAGTTCCTGATTTCACTTCCTTTTAACAGTTGAGAAGTTTAGGGTTCTTATGACAGTACTTGCTGTATCTATTATTTTCTTCGTTGTACTTTCGATATCTTCTAGTGTCGAGGCCCTTCTATCTCAGGTTGGTGAATATTATCAGTCCAAAATACTGTCTACTACTCACATCCTATTACTGTTTACTTGATATGTGAACATTCTATCAGTGCCTCATTCTTATTTGAAATTCTTGACCAATAGCGATGCTATCCTTTTTTGACTGGTGTGTTACCTTCAAATTTCAAACCTGCACTGTTTTTCAATTGTTGTAGGCTAGTTATTAATTTTCTACCGTCTTTCTAACGATAAGAGCAGAGCATAATTATGAAATTTTAAGCTGTTTATTCTTACGCTAGACTTCTCAATGTTCTTTCTAGAGTCATTATGTATTTTGCATGGCTATCGCTAGTGTTTATCATCCAGTTTTTTGTGGCTGAGAAACCGCCATGTAGTATGACGTTTTAGTGGTGATCTTTGAGGGTAACATTTGTATAAATACTGTACTGAATGAAACCTGTTAGTGTACTCGCGACGGACTTCTCATTCTTTTCCGGCGGTTTGTCAGGCATTGGCTTCGTTCGTTTCTCATCTCCCACCGAAGCTGAGAAAGCCATTAAAATGATGAATAAGAAAAATCTATGCCTGGGAGAAAATACAAAGGCAGTCACGTGCAAGCTCGCGGATAAGGCTGATGCTCAACGTCGCAATTTGACTACCTCGGAACTTACAAGGAACAAGTTCCCCTTCAATCAAGGGCAAAATCAAGCAGCCACCGGTGTTATTCCTCAGCCGTTGCATGCCAGCACTTTGCCAGCGGGGCACATTGCTGCTTTGGCGCAATCAGGTTCTCTACCAGCTCATGTTCTCCCATCATTACCAGCATTCTCGTTCGAAGTTCCAGGATTTGCGAGCCATTCGGTTGCGCCGTCTACAATGAATTCTGGTTAGTTTAATGCCCATCAAAGTTATCACAATACTCTAGTGGTGATTCTCTTGAGTAGTAGACCTTTCACCCACGCCCTCTAACGAACGGAAAAATAGAGAGGTTTAGGGATGTCTTTTGAATAGAACCAATATAGTTTAATTCTTCGTCGTTGTCGATGATCTTTACATGTTAATTTTCATTGAAGGTCAAAGCGACGAAGTTAGATTGTTTGCTCGACATCACTTGATTATGTCATCTCATCTCATCTCATTGATCATTTCCACGATCACTGGTATCTCTATGCGAGTGTTCCATGTTGCCGTCCTTTCACTTGTGACAAAAATTATAATGTTACTGACGGGCTTCCTAAAATTATGAAATGTAGTATAACATGATTCACATTCTTACGATTGATTTCACCATTCTGTTATCACTAGGAACGAGAGCACTATTATGAGGCATTTTCCCGTAATTTAACTGCGAATTTACCAAGCAGGTTGTCCGTTTATGTAATCCTGTCATTATTTTGGATCACAAAAATACGAGGTTGTATAGCTGCGTAGTGGCATTTCAGTTGCACGGTTGTAACATGAGTGTGATCAGTATGATTTCAAGAGCAAAGTTTGAAATCGTTTTATGGTTCATTTTGGTGCTGTTGGTTTTCGGACTCCTCTGTTTGATACAATTTTCTTTGAAAAGGATGCCCCCCTTTATCCTTATGAGTTTCGAAACGCGCTGGAATATCCGGATAACTATCGTATTTGGAATAGATATAACGTGTGAATTACCTCTTATCGAGTCCTTAGTGAATTCCATTCTCATCCCCATGTACGCTTCACAGACGAACTTGAGTACTATAAAAACAGGATAGCGATAGAT